ACTTCATTGGCCAAGATAAAGGTGATAGGAGTCCTTTTGAATGTTAGGCTCGAGTATTCTGGCATCATCAAAGGAGGAAAGTTTTTCGACAAAACTCGTTAGATCTGCTCCAAAGGAAGGCAGAAAGGGAATACAGAACTTTAAAAGATTTCTTCATCTGTAGATGCCAGTTCATGGTTGGCCACACGAGAAATAGGTCACAAACGAGAAGCCTGCAATTTATATTTTAGAATATGCATAATTAGCTTAATTGGCACACATAGCTTTTACATTTTTCTGCATAGTTGATTATAGAATTGTTTATATTGGGCTTAGGTTCTTGAGTCAAAAAACCATAATAAACGTAAAAAGTTGGCTGGATTTAACTTCCACCTTTGTTTTTGTCTTTTGCCATTTTTTCTCCTATACCTCTCTACCCATGAAGGCTAGAAAACTGAAAAATAACAATAGTTCAAGGGCTTTTGAACTATGCATATGTATCTTGCGGTGCAGTCATATGATAATGGACTATTTATCGGTGTAAACTTCACAGGATCGCCCATAGTGATTTAAGGGAGCAAAACGATTCTCCCCCGATATGCTCTCAAAAAAAGAGGTCTTTGTTCTGAGCTTACAATCTCAACCATTTTGTCCACGGTTGGTCATTTCAAGATGCGATTTGTTACCTCCGCCTTTTGTTTCCCTGCTTGTCTAATTATTTGGTGCTAAAAACAGCTACCAGCTAATAGCTGACCCAACCTGAATCCAGACAAGCTAAATATAGTAGTTTTTATTATCAAATTCCTTCTAAGGCACCCTCACGGGACTAAAGGTGCTTGTTTCCCAGTGAACCTCTTTTTAGAGCAAAATGTGTGAATTACATTCCAAGCCAAGTTTATTTTATATGTCTGATTTACAAGCATAGCAACAATTCTATGGTGGCTTACTCAGCAGGAATTCCCAAAATATCCACAAGTTTGTCCCAAACTGTGTTTAGGATCGCAGCTTTTGAACTTCAAAGTTAGTCTGTTCCAGCTGTGTGCCAGATTCCTAGGCCCTTCCTTCCGACCTCAATATTTTTCTTGCTGCACCAGCAATTTGCAGGTGTCTTGATTTCACATCATTACTCTTCATGAGGTTTGCCATCCGCATGTGAGAATGCCGGTCGCTCTCCACTACCCAGCAGAACTAATCCTGAAATAGAATCAGGCACATCTGGTGGTTTTTTTTTTAATGTTGACTCAAATTACTTTACTAGTGGCCCCAGTGCCATCAGATAAGCACCTCGTGGATCAGCGAAGGCATCCTCCAACAGGGGAAGTAAACGCCGTCACCCTCAGAAGCCAGAAATATATTGGCAAGCTGAAATAGGCAGTGTATTTTTATGTCCTTTTTGTACACCGGGAAAAACCTCTAGCATAATTATTTAAGGCTCGAGTAATGGAGAAGCAGCATTAATTGGGTGCTTAAAGCAGACCATGAAACGGAAAATGCTTATCGGAATTTTATTACTGCAGAGCTGCAGATGAGAACTACCACAGGTCAGGTGTAACTTTTAGCAGACCTCTGTAAATATATGGATTATTTCTCCTGCACTATGCACTGGCTGGCAATCTTTGCATGCCCAATACAGTCCTTCTTAACAATCCTGTTGTATAAAAGCCTTTGTGTGTAGCAAACCCGTCATTCCTTGCCCCTATATATTTTCTGGGGAAGAGATGAACCTTCAGCAAAACAAAAAAAGATGACAAAAGTATCATAACTCTGCTAGCTATGTGTCTCTGGAAGTGGATTTTCATTCATGCAAGTGCACACGGAAACAACTCTGTTGGTCCTGAAGGTGCTGCAATATAATAATCACCTTAGACCTGTGGAGCTGAAAAGGATCCTATGAACCATCAAGTCCAGCCTGTCAAGGAGGCACGGGGTGGGGGGGGATTGAACTCCCAACCTCCGACGCCATAGCCATATTTTATCCTATGAACCATCAAGTCCAGCCTGTCAGGGAGGCATGGGGCGGGGGGAGGGGATTGAACTCCCAACCTCCGACTCCATAGCCATATTTCGTCCTTTTCCTGGTTATTGCTCGTATGTTGAAACAGACGAACCTGGCCACCTTTTTGGAAAACCACCATGTCACCAGTGTGATCAGTTTACTATAAAGCTGCGGGTGTGCGCAGCATTTCAATGGGACTGTCATGAACCTTCATCGTACCCTGTGGTACCTTGCAAAACAGCACACTTAGCCAGCAAGATGTTTCTGAACCTCCTCCCCAAGCAGTGCCAGGCGGCGGATAGCCCTGCCAAAACCTTGGGAAGGGTCATTTCCTGCAATTTTCAAAACTGAGTTGCCAGAGTGCCGTCACTGGGATGGCATGAAAAGCTGCCGGACCGGTTTCCACTTCTGGAGATTGCCTTTCGTCAGTTGCGTCCACACAGGAAAAGTTGATGCTCCAAGCATCAGTGTCGGATGGCCAGGTCTCTATGCTCAACACACCTCACTTATGATGAACACGAGACAGGAAATTTGAGTTGAATTTGGTACTGCAGGAATGGTATGCAATTTTTGCCTGAACTCTGCAGTTCTTCTGACTACATAACACAGCCTCCCTTCTTTCTTATCTCATCCACCAGCTGAATGTCGGTGGAGTTTTTTTAAAAACATTTTTCTGTAAAAAAAACAGGAGATCTGATGCTAGTGAACTGCGTCACTATGTTTTGAAGAAATGCAATTATTATTGGAAGTGGAAACTTTTTAAGCAGGTCCTGCGGGCTGCCCAAGGCAAGAGAAAAAGGAGAGATTGAGAGAGAGAATTCCCAACCCGTCCATGCTTGCTTAAAAACAGTGACTCAGCAAAGCCGGGCACCAATAAAATGCTCCGTTTGCCGCAAAATGTGTGTGCAGAGGCTAGAGAACACAAAAGTGCTCTTGATTGGATGAATAAGATAATTGTCCATGTTAGAACACCCTGATTTTTCCTAGTGTTGTTCGCTTTAATCTTTCTACTTCAACTGGGAACACATTCCTGTCGCCAGAGATTAAACCAGACTGTGCTAAAGTAACACACCTACCACCAAAAGGGAGACCACTTCTTGATGGGCACAAACCTAGCCCAGGCCACTCAGCCCACCCCACTCTACCAGACTGTGAACCGACAAGGGTAAACCTCTCCCTCCCCAAAGACGACCAGCATCGAAGCCTCCTCATAAAGCAGACTCAAAAGGACCTGGAAAGACAACAACAAAAGGACAGAAAAGAACCACAGAAGAAATCCAGTGTTCTCTGAACTGTCTCTTTCTGGCACTGACTGAGGATGCTGAATTCCACACCAGGCAGTCTTGCCAGCTGATGAGTTCCAGCAACTTGATTCACAGAAACACCCCTGTCAACTCCCAAGATTGATCCCTCAGCTCCGCCTACTGGCCAGCAAGCAGGACCAACACTAGAGAATTTAACAGTCAATCTTCAAAAGCTTATCTGTCTTTTCCAAAACAAGGTGCGAACTTTATAGGCTGCACTGGCCTGGGGGAAAAGACTCAAGCTTCCCCTCTTCAACGGGTCCTGGAAGAAAACCATCCCTTATATATAATCCCCATTTTCAGCTCAGGAATTCAGTTACTCGACAGCCAGTTTGCATGCTTTTATGTAGCACCTGAAAAAAGGCTTTAATTTCACCTGCAGACCTGTACTTATGAAAGAAACAGCCACTTTCATAATCTTAAAATGGACAGCTCCTTTTTAGAATGATCCTGTGCCTAGATTATCCCACACTCTTTCACTGCAACAGCGCTGGCATTTTTTTTGACAAACAGCAACCTATTAAAGCAAGATTTTCTCAGAAAGGTTTTCCGCAGCCACTCTAGCATCGCCGTGTGGCCCTCCAAAGGCCATGGCCATCAGTTAAAGCAAGATTTTCTCAGAAAGGTTTTCTGCAGCCACTTTAGTACCACCGTAGGAAACACGTGGCCCTCCAAAGGCAATGGCCATCAGCCCCAGGTAGCCGGCTCAAGGCTGACTCAGCCTTCTATCCTTCCGAGGTCAGTAAAATGAGTACCTAGCTTGTGGGGGGGGGCAATGTGCAGCCCGCATAATTAACTTGTAAACTGCCAAGTATGTGCTTTCGGCGCTATGGGGCAGGCCATGGCCATCAGCCCCAGGTAGCCGGCTCAAGGCTGACTCAGCCTTCTATCCTTCCGAGGTCAGTAAAATGAGTACCTAGCTTGTGGGGGGGGGGGCAACGTGCAGCCCGCATAATTAACTTGTACACTGCCCAGTGTGTGCTTTCGGCGCTATGGGGTGGGGTATATAAGCAGCATGTTTTGCTTTTTTGCAAACACAATGATGCCAGGAATGTTGGGAGGTGTATCCCAACATCATCTAGATCAGTGGTATATAAGCAGCATGCTTTGCTTTTTTTGCAGACAACACAATGATGCCAGGAATGTTGGGAGGTGTATCCCAACATCATCTGGATCAGTGGCTCTTAACCTTTGTTACTCAGGTGTTTTTGAACTGCAACTCCCAGAAACCGCAGCCAGCAGAGCTGATGGTGAAGGCTTCTGGGAGTTGCAGTCCAAAACTCTTGAGTAACCCAAGGTTAAGAACCAGTGATCTAGATGACCAAACATAATCACAATACCATTAACCTCCCCCTGTCCTTCAAAGTCACCTCAGACTATGAACAAGGGTCAGGCGCTCTCTTAAACCAAAGACAAAAAGCCAGAACTGTATAAAATTTATATAATTAACCTTACTTAGGTTTCACGTAGTTCGGTAAGGACGTCAGTGCAACGGTTCACCTCTTTCAAAGGTGTGTGGTGCTGGAATGGAAGTTTAGATTCACAAAAACAGAGGGAACCCCACCTCCCCCTGAAGCTTTCAAGGCCTTTTCATCATCCTTACTTAAAGCAAACTTGTGTATACTCCAAAACGAAGCAGTAGACTGTGGGGTGAGGAGTCTGGCTAGATAAGAACCCAAAATAAAAACCTCTGGTAAAGAAATGGGACTAAGAGACCTGTGGGTCGTTTCCTCCAAATATTTTACTATGAAGTCTCCAGGCTACTTAGAATACCAATTTGTGAGGATAAACGCCGTTGGAAAGGGAGAATGTGGAACGCAGGTAGCCCCGAAGCTGAGGCACCTTTTTGATGGCCGGCAGGAGCTGGGAGTCCACAGCCTTCTGGTCTGCTTTGCGTCGCTCTGTGATCTCATATTTCTGAGAAAGCAAACCAAGATTTGTGTCATATACTCATTTTTTAAAGAACACATAAACTCATTTTTTCTCCACTGGCATCTCAGTCTATCTAAATCTCAAAACTAGGGACTTGTTTCCTGCTCCTTTTCTGTTCCGGACTGGGGCCCCTTATGGGATGGCCTTGCGACTCTGTATCCCCACCCCTACCCCCGGACTTTTCAACACCACAATTTCACATCCAACACTCAGATTGCTGCAGTCCGTTAGGAGAGACCCCACAGAGATAGAAATAACTCAAGACCTTTCTCTGAGATTCTCAGCCTGACAGGCGGCTCCGAGGCCGACAATGCAGGACGCCAATGGGCAGAGGAACATGAGACTCCAATGGGCAGCTCAAGCCCCACCCATCTGAACTACAAGCAAACAGGGCAACATTTAAGGTGAAACAAGACTGTGAGCCATGCAAACGGTGGAAATGCCAAAGATTTGGTTTCCTGCACGAAAGACGTTGTCATGGCTGCTCTGCAAAAGGAAACCTCTTGCATGCCAGGCAGACAACGCGAGGAAGCCACATCCCCAACCTTCCTCACCCTTGGCTAGGAGGACTAGGGCTTATGGAACTTCCAGTCCAACATCACCCGGATGGCTGCGGTTTCAAACAGCCCTCCTCTAGAAGCATTTTCTTTCCAAGCATTTACGATTTCTAAACAAGGCAAGGAGATGCCTTGCTTCAGGGGCTTCCTGACAATGACTGGGCCCCAGCATCATCCACGCAGAGCATTGTGGGAGCACAGCTCACCTCTTTCTCAGTGTCGAAAATTTCGCCCTCCTGGTGCTTAGGTTTACGCAGCCTCTTCTTCTTGAAGTAAAGATCAGTGAGGTGCTTGGGAAGCTTCACGCCAGAGATGTCGACCTTGGTCGAAGTGGCAATGACAAATTTCTGGTGAGCCCTGCGCAGGGGGACCCGGTTGATGACCAGGGGGCCTGAGGGAAAATACAGAGGAAAGTCAGCAGGGATCACCTCCAAAGAGACAGGACCTCGCGAACATGTGGAAGCAAGAATCAGTGTCACCCCTGGGATTTAATTTCCCCAACCTTTGTAAAATCACGGTTGATGACCAGGGGGCCTGAGGGAAAACACAGAGGAAAGTCAGCAGAGATCACCTTCGAAAGAGACAGGACCTCACGAACAAAGCACAGCCCTGGCAGGTGGAAGCAGGAATCAGCGTCTCCCTCGGGAATTAATTTCCCTAACCTTTGTAAAACCTTGCCTAATAAAAGTGGCCCACAAAATCTCAAAACCTGGGACTCTCTCCCCATCCTGGGATCCTTGCTGGCCTAATACAGGTTATCACCGAACGGGATGATTGTATGTTGATAATATGCCAACATGGCTGCCCTTATGCTCTATCAATATGATCACAAACCAGGTTTGCGGGAATCACAGCAGAGCAAATGATGTTAAGAACGCACAGGACAAACTTACCTGTTACGAGAAGTAAGCCGCTCCCTAGCTGCTTCAGGAAGACCACACGCTAGAAACGCAAGAGGAAAACAATTTATCAAGCGGTCAACAGAGAGGCAAAGGAAAGCTAGCCTAGAACTGCGGCTCCATCACACCATGAACCCGAGGCTTCCATTACCTTGCCTCGGTGGCGGCCAGTGAGAAGGATTACAACGGTTCCCGGGGTAATGGAAGCCCGCAGTTTCCTCTTGTGTAGGGCAAAATTCTTTTTGCCGTGACTCAGGAGCTTGCGGGGAACATCTTCAGTCGGATAATATCGAGGCTACAGAGAGAAAACAACGTAAGATTGAATTCAGAACTACATTTTCTGCAGAACATGCGCTTCTGCCCTTTTAAATGCCAGAATCTTAACTTTATGGCTTCTCTGCCACCGAAGACGTTTTGATGTGGGTGCCCAGAAAGGTCATCACCCGTCCGCACCGGCAGCATAGATCTGGCACCTCAACATTTGATTTGGTCTCCTATAGGCCCAAACTCTGGCAAACAAAAAAGATCAAATTCCTGATATAATACAAGAAAAACTACCGTATTTTTAGCACCATAAGACACACTTTCCCCCCACAAAACAGAGGAGCGAAGAAAATTATATTTTCCTGTTTTCTTCTCCTAAAAATTGGTGCATCTTATGGAAAGGTGCGTCTTATGGAGCGAAAAATACGGTAACCTATTGTAGTTATCTAGTCCTTCCAAAATGCAAGCATGGAAAGACACAACACACACACCACCCGAACAGTGGGAGGTGTTTGCACAGTTAGGGGTTACTCTATTTGGAAGCAAAAAGGGGAAAACAGATAAACATCCCCAGAAGTAAAATGTGCTACAAGCAAGTCAGGTCAAATTGCTTTAGTGACCTCTTGGGATTTTATAATTTTTTGAGGTTTCAACAGCCAGCCTCAAGCTTCTGTCTCCTCCTGCTCTCCCTATATGAAATGCCCCATATGATTAAAAAAAATCCTGCAGGCCTCTGAACCTTGCTTATGCATAGTATTTTAGCTTTCCAATACTGGCATTATCCACTTCCTTTGGTTTTGCAAACAGGCCACATATCGGGGGGGGGGGGGGGGGATTTCATTATATAACAAAAGAGCAAACCAACCAACCAGGACTTCCCATCACCAGGGGCTTCTCGGGAGAGCTGCTCTTACCATCTTGCGGAGTTTGACCACCCGGGTGCCTCCATTCTTATCCCCTCCGACGGGCTTTGTGGCTGTGGCTGGCTCCTTTTCTCGTTTCTTCTTTTCTATCTGCGGTTGAAACAGAGCATGAACCCTCTTGGCAAACAAAACAACTGCCCAAAGCAAGACGACACGCAAGACGAGGGGATCCGAGTCCCTTTCTAAGCAAGACATGGTGATTAATTCTGCCGTTGTTTTCAACTTTCCCGCACTGGCTGGCCCCCGGTGCTTTGCATCCAGAGACCCACTAAGGAAAGATGCAAGAGCTGTGCTAATGAAGACCGAGGGTGAGAGGGTCCAAGTCAACGCATTTACTGTCTTGAGGAACTGATACACACAGATGCGTACTGCCTTCGGTAATAAAGACAACATACAAGAATCTTAACTATTAGCTACTGCTGGTAGGAACGTTCATGGATTTAGCCAACCCCTCTTTAAAGCTGTCCAAGCGACCAGCCGTTGCTGTATCTGGTGGCAGTGAGTTCCACCACCATCTGACTCTGTGCCAAGCGAGGACGCCCTTCCTTTCACCTGCTCCAAACTACCCATTAAGGATGCAAAATTTTCAAATATTTACAGGGGGGGGGAGGAAAGGGGAAAATATTTTTTTCCTGAAATGTTTCCATTTTTAAATGGAAAAGCTGGTGGCAGTGAGTTCCACCACCATCTGATTCTGTGCCACGTGAGGACACCCTTCCTTTCACCTGCTCCAAACTTCCCACTAGGGATGCAAAATTTTAAAAAATTTCCGGGGGGGGGGGGGAGGGGAAAAAATTTTATCCTGTANAATTTCCGGGGGGGGGGGAGAGGGAAAAACATTTTATCCTGGAAAAAATTGGAAATTTTCAAAAATTTTACATCTCTACCTCCCAGTATTCAGCTCCAGTGATTAAATGGCCCCATTGGGGTCTCGCTTTATGAGACATACACCCTTTCCTTATACAAAGCCGCTTAGCAGCCAACGTGATGTGAAAACGACAGCTTTCTCCGGCCAGAACTCGGAGGGAAGACCCCTTTCCCCCCTTACCTTTGTTTCTGGGGCTTTGTACTTGCGCTTGTACATGGCTTTCCGGGCGTACATAGCCGACCGGGAATACTTCCCGATCCCCCGGGCCAGCACCGGGTTGCGGCTGGTGTGGACCTTCCGCACCCTCTTGGTTTTCTTCTTCTCACCTGCCATCTGCAAGAAGCATGCCTGAATTAACAGCTTGTACAATATAAAGGGGCGGGGGAAACAAAACTAAACCAAGGCTGAGAATTGTGAATACCTTTACAAAATCCCAAGCAATTTGTGTTACAATCAATTTCCAACCCTCAACGCAGCAGAAAAGTTATATATTCCTTTCTCCCGCGGTCTCAGGCATCCTGATCCCAAAAAGCAAATGTTCAGGTCACAGTATACAAGAGTTTAACCCTGGCGTTGGAGAACCAACTTCATACATGTAAGCTCAATTCTACCTTTTTTTAAAAAGAGAATTTTGACCAAAGCAGATGTTTTTATAACATCAGGCCTCGGCTTGGCATTGAGTCAATTATTTTATTTATTTATTATATTTATCTCCTGCCCATCTAGTCATTCGACTACTCTGGGCGGCTTACAGCATACAAAATACTGCATTATACATAACCTAATATTATGCATACATAATATCTTGCATTTTAAAAGAAGCATCACGGACCCCACACAAGCACCCCCTTCCCCTCCCGTGTCTTCCCACGCGCGAGGGCTTGCACGTCTCCCAATAATGGCAGGGTTGGCCCCAGAAGCCCCATCCACGAACATCATTTGCAATCCTTTGGATCGGGGGGGGGCAGGTGGGGACGTGCAACGATAAACCCAGTGGCTCCCACCGAAAACCCTCGCGGGGGGCTGGATAAGAGAGCTCCCCCCACGAACGAACCCGCCTCTTCCACTCGCCAGGCAAGAAGGCACAGGGAGGAAACACGTGTCTTCTTCCTCTAGCACGGAATGGCCTGCGCGCCTACTCGGTGCAATACGGGCACCACCGGCCGCCTCGCTGAAACCGCCCCGAGATCAAGTCAGCGGCCTAAGCCGCTCGGGCAGGACCCGCTCCCCGGCTCCGGGAGGCTTCTCCCGGTTCCCAAGAAGGGCCCCACGGGGCACGCCAGGGTCCCCTCGAGCCCCGCGACCCCGTCCGCCCCGCCACCCGGGCAGCCTCCGGGGCGGATGGCCGCGGATGGTCCCCGCAGCTCTCGCGGAAAAAAGACATGACGCGACCGCCATTCTTACCTTCGGAGACGGGAAAGGGAAGCAACATCCGGGGACGCGGCGCTAAAGAGGCCTGGGGCGTGACGTCACCGCGCACGCCCCCCGCGGCACTCTGGGAGATGTAGTTCCTCCATCCGGAGGTCCTCTCTGGCCTTTGAGCGCCCTGGGGGCAGCTGGTCGATCTGTCGAATTTTATATTTCACAGAATTGTATATTTTACAGAATAATTGGGCAGACATCTAGACTCAGGCGTCCTATTATTAAATAAATGCACACTTCTGTCTTCGTCAGACCCCCTGTCTACAACCTCAGAGTGGTGGGATATTTTTAAACCAATTGCGATGTGTTATTCCAAGGATGTATTTCAATGCCACACATTAATTATTTGCCATGTTATATTTCTTTTGGTTATGACTGAGGAAGTGCACTTGTCCAGGAAAGCCCACATGACAGTATGACAGTTTACTCTTCAAAAGGCCACCCTCATTTTAGTCTTTTTTTAAAAATTGATCTTTATTTTTTCATTTTTATTTTCTTGCACAGACCAACACGGCTACCCCCGTTCTCCAACGCCAAGGATGTGATATTTCAGGAGGCGCCCTTTTAACAGCCACGGCTTGGATCAGGTTTAACAATACTTGGCGAAGGCTCTGGGCGGGCTGGAGGCCCAGACACTTTGGGGGCACCTTAAAAGACTAAAGAGATTCGTTTGGGATAAAGTTTCAAGGACTAAAATCAAAGAAATTAAACAAAAAGTGTGAGGCCAAACCTTTTGTCCTTTAAAAGCAAAGACACCACAAGGCATTTTACCCTTTTTTGCTACCAGAAAGGAAGGCAGGTCACCTGGAAATGGAAGCAAACATCCTGCTACGGTACTCCCAAGATCCATCTCCATTCTTTTGTAGACTAAAATCAAAGAAATTAAACAAAAAGTTTGAGGCCAAACCTTTTGTCCTTTAAAAGCCAAGGCACGACAAGGGATTTTACCCTTTTTTTGCTACCAGAAAGGAAGGCAGGTCGCCTGGAAATGGAAGCAAACATCTTGCTACAGTACTCCCACGATCCATCTCCATTCTTCTGTATTGTTGGTTAGTCGTTAAGCCGTGTCCGACTCTTCGTGACCCCATGGACCAGAGCACGCCAGGCCCTTCTGTCTTCCACTGCCTCCCGGAGTTGGGTCAAATTCATGTTGGTCACTTCGATGACCCTGTCCAACCATCTCGTCCTCTGTCGTCCCCTTCTCCTCTTGCCATCACACTTTCCCAACATCAGGGTCTTTTCCAGGGAGCCTTCTCTTCTCCTGAGATGGCCAAAGCACTGGAGCCTCCGCTTCAGGATCTGTCCTTCCAGGGAGCCCTCGGGGTTGATTTCCTTCCTCCTTTATATATGGCTATATAAATATGTATATATACTTTTGGTTCTAATTCTCTCCTCTTGCCCTCACACTTTCCCAACATCAGGGTCTTTTCCAGAGACTCTTCTCTTCTCATGAGATGGCCAAAATATTGGAGCCTCAGCTTCAGGATCTGTCCTTCCAGTGAGCACTCAGGATGGATTTCCTTCCTCTTTTATATATGGCTATATAAATATGTATGTATACTTTTGGTTATAGACGTTGCATGGTAGAAAACATTTGGAAGTGGTTTACGGCTGCTCTCTTCTGCACAGTACTAACAAGAGTCAGCTTAGGCGTCATTGGTGTTCGTGAAAGAAACAACAGAGGTGGTCAGTCCCGCGATCCCTCCCCATTCCTCACTTCTTTGGTCTCGTCTCGCCTGACCAAGAACTCTGCAGAACTCCAAAGGTGGGCACATTCTTAGGGTTATTGAAGTTGAGTCTTCTTGAAAGCATTTCCCACTTGTGCCTTTTGTATGGGTTCCCTCACCCACCCACCAACCCCGCAGCCTCTCAGGAAACAGCAAACCATTCTTCAAAGAAAGAAAGAAAGAAAGAAAGAGAAAGAAAGAAAGAAAGAAAGAAAAAAGAAAGAAAAAAAGAAAGAAAGAAAGAAAAAGAAAGAAAGAAAGAAAGAAAGAAAGAAAGAAAGAAAGAAAGAAAGAAAGAAAGAAAGAAAGAAAGAAAAAGGAAGGAGAAGCCAAGCCAAGCAGTTGCACAAAGTCTCCACCATAGAGATGACACGGCCTAGAGAGCTTTCCCCCATCAACGGCGGCGGGAGGAAGAGTGGGCGTGAGCTTCCGGTGCTACCCGGGCCCGTCTCTCCTCCTCTTCCTCCTCTCTATAGCCCGCTCCGGGTCTTGCGGGAGGGCGGCCGAGGGCGGTGGGCGTGGCCTGGGCTGGTCGCCGGCTGATGACGCCCTCTGGGCCGCGCCGCGCCGCTCTGTGGGTCTCCCTCCTTCCCTCCTTCCTTCCTTCCTTCCTTCCCGGGCCTGAAGGCGGCCGGGCCTGGGCTGGCTTGCGCTCCCCGCCTTCCGGGCCGGGCTCCCCGCGAGGCGAAGGGGGCCCATGCGAGGGAGACGGGAAGATGACCTCGAGGAGGTAAAGGGGAAAAGGGGAAGGGAGGAAGAGGAGGAGGAGGAAGGAAGGGAAAGGGGGGGAGGAAACAGCCCCGCCCCTCCGGTCTTCCTGGTGGGGAGGGGGTCCCCCACCCCCCTCCTGCGGTTGCCATGGGGATCAAGGGGGGGGGAAAGGGGAGCCTCAGGTCACCCCCCCACACACTTCTGAGGGGCTTCCCTTTGAGGCGTCTCTCGGTCGGCAAGACCTGTGGGACCAGTGGTGCTGGGCTGGAGCTCCCATTATCCTTTTTTTTTCTGGGGATGATGGGTTATGGAGTCGCCCTGATGCTGGAGGGCCACAGGCGCTCTCTTTCTCTCTCTCTCTCCTTCCCCACCCCGCCTCCATCCTTGGAAGAAAGGGAGGCTTGTTAGTGGTTAGAGGGAGCCCATCGCCTGCAAGGGTGATGATGAGGATGATAATGCTATCAAGAAACTTGCACACAGTACTATAAGCAGTTGCAGGTCTCTGAAACCACACCGTCGGAGTTACAAAAAACATCAATATTAGGAACAGCACGCATCCTGTGTTGATATTTAATGGATATTTAGGTTTTTGGTTAAAACCTGGATCTATTATGCAATACCAGTCAATGTACATCAATATTAGGAACAGCACGCATCCTGCGTTGATAATTTAAGGGATACTTAGGTTTTTGGTTAAAGCTTGAATCTGTTACGTGTAATAATATCAGTCAATGCTTATATATTTTGGGTGGGCTGGGCATGGTATTTTTAACGATAATAGCGATAATAATGGATTATTTAGAGCCCCCCTTTTCCCTGATAAGGGGACGCAAGGCAGTTCCCAATATTAAAAAGAACAGAATTGAAAACGCAGTGGGAGATAGCATTAAAAAGCAATTAAACTATGTGCTAATTAAAATGCAATTGAATAATTAAAAGCAAGTCAACATTACAAACTATCTTAGCTTTAAAAATGCATCCAGGGACTCGGTTATGATGTTTAAAAGACTGCCTGAAAAGGTGGGTCTTTGGCAGTTGGCGGAAAGATTGAATAGCCAGAATTTTTCTTTGTTTCTGCTCCTTGTTGTCAGGCTTGTGGGACTCCTTGCCACCAGGGTGGGCCCAAAGAGCAGTTGTTGGCATCCAGCATCTGCTTCTTCTAGTTTGGTCTTTAGGTTAACGTAACCGACTCTTTTTTTGACCCAACTCCGGGAGGCAATGGAAGATAGTAGGGCCTGGCGTGCTCTGGTCCATGGGGTCACGAAGAGTCGGACAGGAGTAAACAACAACAACAACCGGTTCTTTGTTTTTGTGCATTAGTACAGTAGCACTTATTAAATAAGGATTAACACAAAACTTAGAAGAAAATGGTTTGTCAGTTTTCCTTGTTTAGTGTGTTCCACGCTCTTCCTATTACATTTTCAGTTGCAGTATTTTGATTCCAGTTAATACTAGTTTTCTTACAGCATGACTGCCTGCCTTCCTAGGTGCTTCTAGACTGTGCTTTATTACAATCATCTTCAAAGGCTAATTGCGGGCCTGTAAAACAAATCCCAAAATCTTTGTTGTGGTTCTAGTTTGATTAGGGGAATTAAAAAAAAAAGACACAACGTTCTCTGGAATAATTTAAGTGTCTGGGAGAGCCGATGCTCAAACTTCGTAGCCTTTATGCTGTTTTAAGATGTATGGAAAATAGCTCGTGAGGGGGAACATCTTAGCCCATCAAATTCTTTAATCTTCTTGTACCCCTGACGTAATTTCTTTCTTCTTGAGATTTGCACAGTCATGCGTTCCACCACCTGACACCTTAGAGATGGGTGGGTTTTAGCCTTAATGACACATCTTTTTTCAGGACCGTGATCCTGATCACATCTCCGGAACCACTTGGCATAACTTTCCGGACTCGGGCTGATTTGGTACACCCCCTGTATCCTTCTATTTCAGGCGCCTGAGAAATAGCTCTTCCCACTTAGAGCCAAATATACCTGGACCGTCAGATAGCCACAGACGGAGCAGCACCCTCGGGTGGCCCACGCTGGAAGGTGCTCTCTTCCTCCAGCGTTCTGCTTGGCGGTTTCCGCCTGGCGGCTTTTTAGGGAATCCGCTTCACCCCTCTGCGACCGCTTCTTTGCAATCGGAAAAAGACACCCACCCAGAATTCTGTGGAAAGGGTGGCTTGAAAAGTTCTGTACTTTACGTTTCTTCATTTCTGCAGAATGCAAAATGTGTATGGCGAGCCATCGTGGTGGGCGGTAGATGGTCAGAAGGGGGGGGGGAAGAATCTCCAGCCTAACGGGTGTTATGGGGAAAGGGGAGAAGTGATTTTCAGTGATATTCCTACGCTCCATTGCTATGTCCTCCTCTGTTCCTCAAGCCAAAGAAGCACCCAAGCTGAAGGGTGGACTTTCACATTTTCTACATTTTCATGGAAGACTTTCCATTTTATTTTTGCATCCCTTTGCTGCAGAATGTCTGCGTGTTTGCCGGAGAGCATTTTAAAAATCTTGTGTACTTTCAAGCCTAGCGGTAATGGAACGGCCGTGTTCATAAAACACACTCTGACGCTGGTGCTACAGCCAGCTCTACAAATTTTATGTTACATAAGACTTATGTTCTGCAGCCAATTAGACTTTAGATTAAATATTTGCTGTTTCAGGAAGGTTAACCAAAAGGGAGGCTGTGCACGGCCTGCTCTGTGAACCTGTAGAGTCAGTTTCTCAGCCAGGTTTCTATTCCGGCTATATCCAAAGAGATATCATTATTTCCTTATTCAAAAACGTATTTGCAAATTGTCATCAGTAATTAAGGATTCTTAAAGAAAAAAATGTTGTTCAGGGGAAGTTGTTTGGCTTTGCTGTTTGGATAAGTTCATGGGGGTAAGGATGAGCTTTCTGGAATGCAGTTTGGCTCCCCCGCATTTTAATATTCAGCCTTAATAATGCTATATTCTTGTTAAAATCAAATTATGTCTCTCTTCTCTTCCAGTATGTAAAACACACTGCCACATTTTAAGCAATTTAAAAGCGAGTTCAAAAGGATCAGGGGAACCAAGAGAAAGTTTGAACCAAAGAGGGCAAAAAAATAAGTTTGAAACCAAGCCCTCCACCTGAGAAGCCCACTCTTTCGTGGGCGATCCGTTACCAAAAGCCAGCTTGCGTAAAAAGAGCTGTGCCTACAGGCGGGAGTACAAAAAGGGAGTGAGCCAGATTAACTTCCTTTGGAAGGGAGGTCTGGAAAGCTTGGCTGGGCAGGGGCCTGATTCTTGGCTACCTTCCTCAGTGTAGAATGAGAGCGTGGCCGTAAACGCCACCCTTCCTGATCATACCTCCCCCAGCCTTTCAGCAAACTCCCGTCTCACCCCCGAAGTGGGATGATGCACAGCTTGAGCCGAAATGGCGGCCTCATGAACCAAACCTCCAAAAATAAGCTCGGCAGCGCTCGTCACAGAGGTGGCAAATGCCGAGTGAAAAGGTGCAGCCCGCGTGGGGGGCCTTCAACCCGCAAGGTGCTATATTAGTCTTGGGGAATTATGCCTGTAGGCGGGGGGAGTACACGGGGATATATGGAGGGTATTTGCACACTGGCGAGGCAGTGCCGCCCTGGGACAGAGTCAGACCTGCCGGAGTCTGCCGACCCCGGGCTCTGGGAAGGGAAACTCCAGAGGAGAATCTTCTAGAATGAGGAGTGGGTCTCCAGTGGCCTCCCACTGTTGCACCGTTTGCATTTGAGAATCATGAGGTTGTATTTCCCTTTTTTTTCCGTCTTATTTTGTCACATATTCCGATTAACAACCTGAAGGCTTTTCCCAGAAAAAGAAGAAGAAAATGCAGTTCTATCTTGATGGGCCTGTATATTCTGATAAGGTCCTTTCCTTGGGGTTTATGGACAGCCATTCGCCTGTGGCGATCCGATATCCCTTCCGGGCGACCAGACGTGGCGGTGGTCCTCAATTGCCCATCGGCCGTGTTCTGTTTCCTTTTAGGATATTGGGGTGACGTATGTAACAGAGCCAAGGGAAGGGCTGGAACTTTGGGGGCGAGGAGCAAACGTGGCTTGTGAGAAATTCTGCCCCTGCCGTTTCTGGGATGGCGGCTGAGGAAGCTGGGCATTGTAGTCCAGCAGATCAGGAGGTGGTCAGTGTTGTAGAAGGCGGAGGGAGATCCGTACTCTGAGCAGCTCTCCAGGATTCGGTTTCTGGATATTCGCGATTGTTTCGTGATTCAGTGACTCTGAACAGTTTTGCTGGGACTTTCAGTCTCCTTAGCCATTGCCTTTACTGTGCAAAGCCTGAAAGGTGTCTCTCTGTGTGGGGGGGTGTTCTTAGTTTTGCAATGTCTTCCTCCCTCTTTTCTAGATGGTTTCACCCAAATATCTCCGGAGTGGAGGCGGAGAACCTGCTCCTGACCCGAGGCGTGGATGGCAGCTTCCTGGCCCGGCCCAGCAAAAGCAACCCAGGGGATTTCACGCTCTCCGTCCGGTAAGGTCGCTTGTGCATGGAAGAGGTTTTGCATCCAAGGATCCCGATGCTCCGTCTGGCATTCCCCGTTCGTCAGGGGTCCTTTCGTGAATTCATCCCGTTTTTCTTTCGGTTTAATTGATTAGGACTCAATGTATGGAAAGGTGGAAAGTACTGCCTTGACTCTCATGGGATATAGATGGGAGAACTGGATACATTGAAGAGACAGAGGGGGGCATATTTCTGATAAGAGGGTAACCAGCATGCCCCCCTCCCTCCCTCCTTGCAAAGGATGGGGGGCTTACACTTGTAAGGGCCCGTTTGAGGTGGCCCGGGAGTCAGTTTTACACATTGNAACCAGCATGCCCCCCTCCCTCCCTCCTTACAAAGGGTGGGGGGGCTTACCCTTGTAAACCAGGGATGGCCCGCTTGAAGTGGCCCGGTAGTCAGTTTTACACATCGTGTGTCATTCCACACCCACCTGGCAAAACTGGAATTTTCCCAAAGTCCGGTTCTGGTTTCATCCACCCCCGGTTTTCTACTTTTGAAAGGTGTGTGGGGTGTAGGGTGTGTGTATGTGTGCGTGTATGCAAAGCGCTCGGGAGTTAAAGCATGCCCGAAGCTTCCTGAAGTGCTGTTTCTCATCGTTTTTCTATTTGATTTCTCCCCCTCCCATGTGTGGGACGCTCCGGGCCCTGTAAAAAAAATGGATGGGGTCACCCAGAGCCTGCAGGCAGCCCACTCGGGTGTAGGGAGAAGGCTGCGAAGCTGAGATGCGGTCCCTTGGCTAGTTTCTGAAATCCAGAGAGAGACACTCTCAGTCCATAGGACTGTGGCTGGGCAATTTTTGTGGATGTAGGGGGTAAAACGTCACACACACACCCACAATCCTAGTGCTCAGAAACGGCAAGAAACGTTCATAAAAATCAGCTGAGATTTGGGGTTTTGGTCAATGGCAGCGTTGCCCTCCTTCTGTTTTATGTGAAAGCTGATACTTCTGAAATCCTGCAGGAGCAGAAACCTCCATTTTGAGCCAATCTTTTTTTTTTTAAGAAGCCTGCCATGTGTGTTCTTTGGGAGTCCCCTCAGCTGAGAATCACATTTTGCCCTCTCCTGGCATAGACGTCACAGGACGGGTGGTGGCTTCACCCGATACCAAGACAGGTTCCTTTCCTCAAATGAGAGACCCTTTTCTTTTTTTCTCTCCTCTCCTCTCGCGTGTCCCGGCCAGACGAAATGGAGCCGTCACCCACATCAAGATCCAGAACACGGGTGACTACTACGACCTGTACGGCGGGGAGAAGTTTGCCACTTTGGCGGAGTTGGTCCAGTATTACATGGAACACCACGGGCAGCTCAAGGAGAAGAACGGAGACGTGATTGAGCTTAAGTACCCTCTCAACTGTGCCGACCCCACGTCCGAAAGGTGAGAGCGAAGGGTCCCGAAGAAGTGGCTTCTTCCAGGGTTGGAGGATTTGCCTGTGGGTGCGAGGAACGCGAAAGAGTACGTTTGGGAACCAGTGAAATAAAGGCACTCAGGCCCAGGGCCTGATCCGGCCATTCCAGAGTCTGAATCAGTTTCTCAGCAGGCGACTTCCTTTCCTCCACAAGGTGGTCACGGGATCTCTCAGCTTTTGTATGTTTTCAAGAGGTCGAAATGTCTCTTCTGCGACTTCGAAACTGGCCAGAAGAAGTTTACCTTCGGCTCTGCCGGCCGCTGGAATGTGTCCTCTGAAAACTTGTCTAGAATGGCATTCGAGAAGCCTTCACCACCAACTGTGCTGGCTGGGGTTTCTGGGAGTTGCAGTTCAAAAACATCTGAGTAACAAAGGTTAAGAACCACTGAGCTAAAATACCCACGTATTTTTTACCTTCGGCTCTGCCAGCCGCTGGAATGTGTCCTCCGAAAACTTGTCTAGAATGGCATTCAGCCTTCAGATTTCTCCTCCCTTAGAGTTAAAATAAGACCCGTCTCCAAAATAATGTGGAAGAGCAAGCCACAACCATATATCAATGTTTATGGCCCGGAGGCATTGGGCTAGCAGCTCTCTCTGTCCCTACATCAAGCCTTTTGGTTTGGCCTGGACAACCTTAGGGACTATGAGCAGCTTTGTAGGGTAAGATAAGACCCTACGAAGCCAATGATGTTGAATCCCTCCTGGGTTGAAAGGTGTGGTACTACCGTCTGGCCACTGAGCAGCGGTGGCGCTAGAGAGCAACGAAACAGTAAAAATATCTCTGCCCATCAGGGGGCACTAGATATGCAAAAATCCTGCTTTTTTTGGTCCCTGTCTGGCCGTTTATTTCTTTTATTCATTATGTACTCGTATTCTGGTCTGTATGTGGCAATTACAGAGTAAGGTGCAAGCAATGACATGAATAAAAAGAGTATTAGGGCAGAACAATTTAACCATGTAGAACAATGTATAGGAATTTGCAGGTCAGCGAAGTATCTCCAGGGATTAAAAGGTTGAGTGAAGAGCCAGGTCTTAACTTTGTGCCTCTCAGAAAGATGGGAAGCGATGCCCCAACCTGTTAAGTGACCTACCTTGTTTTCCTGTCTTCCCAAAGGTGGTTTCATGGCCATCTGTCTGGCAAAGAAGCAGAGAAGCTGCTGACGGAAAAAGGGAAACACGGGAGCTTCCTGGTGCGTGAGAGTCAAAGCCATCCGGGAGACTTTGTCCTTTCGGTCCGGACGGGGGACGATAAAGGCGAGAGCAATGACGGGAAGTCCAAGGTGACCCACGTCATGATCCGGTGCCAGGTAAAACTGTAGGAGTGGCTCCAGGAAGAAAAAGAATAAAAAAGATGGCGGGGTGTGTGTTTGAGCCTCCTGGCGCAGGGGTTAAACTGCAGTTCTGCAGCTGAGACTCTGCTCATGACCTGGATTTAGTTTTTGAGCCTCCTGGCGCAGGGGTTAAACTGTAGTACTGCAGCCGAGACTCTGCTCACGACCTGGATTCAGTCCCAGGCAGCCGTCTCGAGGTTCGCTCAGCCTTCCATCCTTTCGAGGTTCGCTCAGCCTTCCATCCTTCCGAGGTTGATAAACTGAGTACAATGTGTAGTCTGCATAATTCAGTCTCATTCTGCCGGGGGAGCAATGTGTAGCCTGCATAATTCAGTCTCATTCTCCTCTGTTGTCTGTGTCACTTCTGATTTCTTGCCTCGACTCGCAGAAGCACCGCATGTTAAGAACGGGGACCTTTGATTGAGCGTTGATGGGCATGATTGAGTTAAGAATGCTTTGAGCTGAAATGAAAAAGTCATCCCTTTGGTGACAGGGCAGCCTCCACCGTCCCCTAAAGACTGTCAGGTTTTTTTATAAATATATTTACGTATCATGTAGAAGAAAATTGCTGTTGGGGAAGAGGCGTGCTGTGTGCATGTGTGCTTTACGTATCATGTAGAAGAAAATTGCTGTGTGCATGTGTGTGCGCACCGGCGAGAAAAAGAGAAGGGTGAGCGTTCGGGAAGTGCCTTTTCACATATGACTGCTGAGTCACAGACGTGCCCTGCGAATGTTCTTTTTTGCCTAGGTTCTGGTTTCCATCCTGTGGAGAGAGAGTCAATAGATTCGTCGTGACCTGCATGAGCTGCCGATACCCCTACGTCGGCTCGCTTTTTGTATGGCGTTGGCTGATCATTCCACTTCTTTCTTCCCTCCCTAGGAAATGAAGTATGATGTGGGCGGAGGGGAAAAGTTTGATTCCTTGACGGACCTTGTCGAGCATTATAAGAAGAACCCGATGGTGGAGACGCTGGGCACAGTCCTTCAGCTGAAACAGGTAACGGGGAACTTTTCCGAGCGGCTCGGAGAGAGCCTTTCTGATTTGCTTCTCTGCCTCAACGAACTGCTGGACAGCTTTGCAATAATAAAAATTCTAGAACAGCGGAGCTGGAAGGGAACTCGTGGATCACCACGTTCAGGAGCCCCAGTGGGGATTTGAACTCCCAACCTTTGGGTGGCCAGAGACCTAAACCAACGAGTTATGGAATGGCTGGATAGCTCCATGGTTTAGCTATCTGGCTGCAGAACCAGCGTTCAGGAGTCATCCCCCCCCGCCGTGCCTCCCTAACAGGGGCTGGATTTGATGACCTACAGGGTCCCTTCCACCCGCTACGGTTGCTAGACAGTGAGGATGATTGGAATGAGTAAAGAGGACCTGGAAGAAGGCGGCTCCCAATATTCCGAGCCTCTGTGTGCCAAGGATTTGTGTCGCCGTCTCTTCGGTCCCGGGCTGCCCCAAGAGAAAAAAATGGCTGTCAAAACTCCCAAGGCAAGCCCAAGTCTTAACTCTAGCCCTGGTCAGGCAGTTATTACTAAATCTAAACATTTGCCCCATAATCGGCATTTATAAAGTTAAGATGGAATAACGTCGCTCAGAGCCTAGCCCTCTTCCACCCGCTCCCGCCTAGATTTGCTCCTCGGCCTCATCTCTTGAGGGAACAGAATTCAGAATAAAAGCCCCGAGTCGCGCAAGCCGAGTGCCGCCCGGCTCCCTCCAGCTGCAAAGTCACCGAGGGATTTCCTTGAGGGATTTTTTTAAAAAAAATGTTTATTTATGTTATGAGCCTCCCGGCCCTCCCTTAAGAGAGATCTTTCAAGGAAAAGACTTTTTGGGTCCCAGGAGTTTTCAGTCTTTCCTCCTCGGAAAGGTGGCTTACTTTCATTGTAAGACGCAAGACACGTAGAGAAATAGTAACAACCCTTGACGGATCGTAGCGGGAGCTCGTGAGATGGCAGGAAGCAGTCGAGACTCGTAGGTTTCCGAAGGGGTGTTGTGATTGTGGAGGGAGGCGGTTTGACGTCTTTCTGCTTGTGGTGTTTGCTGGAAGAACTCTCTCTCTCTCGCTCTTTCTCCTTCCTTCCTTCCCTCTCCCGTCTCCAGCCCCTCAACACCACACGCATCAACGCGGCAGAGATTGAGAGCCGGGTGCGAGAGCTGAGCAAACTGGCCGAGACGACCGACAAAGTGAAGCAGGGCTTTTGGGAAGAGTTTGAGGTAATTTTTGGGAGGTGGGGACTGAGCTGCTTTGGATATCCGGAACACGTCTGTGGCAGGACCGACCACCCCATCTGTCCTGGATGTGAATCAGTCGATGCGGAATGATCTGTACCTCTCTTTCTCCGTGTTTATCTCTGACAAAGCGGCTTGTGGCTCCTTGAAAGCTAGCACATTCTACGCAGTGTAAGCTTTTGTGCCTGTAGTGGAACTTGTTAGTCCTGAAGGTGTGTGAGGTTCTTTTAAAAAGCAGAACAGTTGAGGTCTAAGCCACGGGGCAGGCAGAAGGTCGCTCTGGGCCGACCCATAGGAGGTTAGTTGATTTCTAGCTCAGCTAAACGAAAAGACCTTTGACAATGCATTTTGCGGGCCAGCTGTAAATCTTCCAAAAAAGCCAGCTTTTGAGTTCTCCGGAAAGCTTTGCTGGGCAGAGGTGGTGCCGATTTTCCAGCGAGGAGAAGGGCGAGAGGCGTGTAAGGGAGGAGGCCGAACAGGGTCCTGGTTTGCCTCTGAGTCCCGGCCTGCTCTTCGTCTGCAGAGAGAGGAGGTGGGAGGGGGGGAATCTTCTGTCTCGACTCGTCCCTTTTGTGTGGAAACGGCGAACTCTTGCCGTGTGTAGGAACTCCGCAGGGTGGATTTTGGAAGTTGCCTCGCCAGCTTTGGTCTCCTATTTTCAGAGCTTTAAAAAAGTTTCCTTTTAAAAAAAAACAACAGTCCCGGCCTGCTCTTCGTCTGCAGAGAGAGGAGGTGGGAGGGGGGGAATCTTCTGTCTCGACTCGTCCCTTTTGTGTGGAAACGGCGAACTCTTGCCGTGTGTAGGAACTCCGCAGGGTGGATTTTGGAAGTTGCCTCGCCAGCTTTGGTCTCCTATTTTCAGAGCTTTAAAAAAGTTTCCTTTTAAAAAAAAACAACCCCACAATAACTCCCAGAATCCCTGAGCCAGCTTTGCCATCCCAAAACGAAACCATGATTTTATAGGCCCCTTTTGTTATTCTCTGATTCTCCTGCTTCTGTGAATTCACTCCCGATCCAAGTATGGTGGATGGGGTGGCCTCTTTTTTTTTTGTACAGTGCCAGAGCACCACGAGGGGGAGCTGTGGATCTCCTCGATCCTCCCAACTTCCCCCTTTATGGGCTGCCTTTCCCTGAGAAGATCGGCCACTGAAGATTTTTTATTTTTAAAACCCCCCCCCCACACTCCTGCCAAAAACGTCATTTATACGGTGCCAAGGAAACCTGTTGGGCCTGATTGTGTCCGCAGCAGAGTTTTTGTACAGTGCCAGAGCACCACGAGGAGGAGCTGTGGATCTCCTCGATCCTCCCAACTTCCCCCTTTTCGGGCTGCCGTTCCCTGAGAATATTGGCCACTGAAGATTTTTTTTATTTTTACCCCCACCCCTGCCAAAAACCTCATTTAAACGGTGCCAAGGAAACCCGTTGGGCCTGATTGTTTCCCCAGCAGACTCCTCCTCTTTGGGTTGCATCCTGCACCGTCCCTCTGTCCTGTTCACCGCCCTCAACCTCCCTTTGTTTTTTGTTTTTTCCATAAGCAAAATGGTCTAAATCAGAGAGCCTTAAATTCTGTATCATCTCCGGGAGAGAGAAAGTGAGAGAGCGCCCGTTGATTTTTTACACGTCCTCCTACAGAACGTGAACATAGCTGTAGTCCGTTTTGTGTTCAATGTTCAACCCGTCCGTGGAGGCTTGTGAAATCCTCAAGCCTTGTTTCGTGGCTCTGATTTCCAGCTGCTGCTTCTGAGGCTCCTGTAAAGATAAATTTCCCTTTGCCGGTAAATCCCAGGGCGACCTCTCTGTGATCTCTAGCGGTCTCCCTCTTTCGGGTGGCGTAGGGGGTGTCGGTGGCCGCAGGGAAAACCTAGGAGCGGGGTGGCAAAGAGGACCGGAAACGCTTTCTGACCCGCTTAACGTCCCACCGGGTTTTCCTTTAGACGCTTCAGCAGCAAGAATGCAAACTCCTGTACAGCCGGAAGGAGGGGCAGAGGCAGGAGAACAAGAACAAGAATAGATACAAAAACATTTTGCCATGTGAGTATCCGACGGTCTCAACCACTGCGTCCTTAAAACAGCCGTCCCTGATCTGTTGCTGGATGGCAGTTCTTCTAATCCCCACTGGAAGAAGCCGGTGGGAGTGGGTAACCCACCCCATCTGACGTTTCATCAGCCAGTAGGATTCCTCCCGTTAACCTCCTGTCTCTTCCGCCTGCCTCTCGCTGGGCGTTTGCACTCTTTCCAGTTGACCATACCAGAGTTGTCCTTCACGACGGTGATCCAAACGAGGCCGTTTCTGACTACATAAACGCCAACATTATCATGGTAAGAACGCCCTCATTGTCAGATGCAAAGATGATGCTTCTCTCCTGCCTTGTCCTTTCAGGCTGAGTTCTTTCCTGTAGATAGGGAGGTGGATTTCAGGATTTTATTGGACTCCAAATCCCATCATTCCCTTTCTAGGGGGTCTCCCCAGCAAGGCCCAGACCTTACAGAGACTTAACCGGTGCTCACCGGGAGAGAAGGCCCAGCGGCTCTCGCCGGTCTTAACTTCCTGTTTGAAAAGGAAGTTAGGCCAGCTGGGCCTTTTCTCCAGGTGAGCACCATTTAGGGGGGCGATAAGGTCCGTGTCCTGCAGATAGGACTCCTCACCTGATGCGGACCCCTTCCGCACCTGGGTCCCAGGATGTCACTTGGGAGGAGGAGGAGAAGGTTACAGCCTCAGGAAAAAAAATTTATTTTGATCCTGTTGCCAGTTTTACTTGGATTTAACCGCCCTTGCTCGCCCGCCTCCCCTCCTCAGGCACGCTCCCCTTCCAGCCTGTCTTTCGATTCACAGCCGGAGTTTGAAACCAAGTGCAACAACGCCAAGCCTAAGAAAAGCTACATCGCCACCCAGGGCTGTTTGCAGAACACGGTGAACGACTTCTGGCGGATGGTGTTCCAGGAGAACTCCCGCGTGATCGTCATGACCACGAAAGAAGTCGAGAGGGGAAAGGTGAGGACGGGAAAAAGAGGGTGTGCGGGTGACCCTCCGAGGTGGCCTGGTTCACCATCTCCCGGCACGAGATGCCACAGGAACCCCCATAGTCACAGCCTGCGTCTAGACTGTCTCGTTATGCCTGTTGGATACCGGTTTAACTCTCCCCCTCCAGTGGGATCCTTGGGAGTTGTAGTTTGGCGAGAGACCTAGAACTCCCTGGGCACTCCCAGAGATGGCACCCAAGAATTCAGAGTGCCTTCTCCTCAAACTCTAAACCCCCAGAGACTTGGTAATGAGCGCGGTATTATTGTACCCCTGCAGTTACACTGTCGAGATGTCCTCTTAATCTTCCAGCCAAGCAGTCTCCGTTGGGCTGAAATTAAAATCTAAAGTGCTGAGTTCAAGAACCCGCCCCCCCCAATCCTGAAACTCCCAGGAGCCCAACGTTCACAACGGGCAGGAGGTTGCTTGAGTGTTTGTTTACTTTCTGGTCCTCCTCTTTTCTACACCTCCAGAATCTCAAAGGAGCTGAATGCTTCTCGGCTTCTGCGCCCCTTTCCTTGAGCGTTTGGCACTGGGGTTGGGGGGTGGCTGCGTTCCGCCCGAGTGCCCCCCGGCTGCTTGCTGAACCTTATCAGTCTGAGGAGGCCTCCTCGTGTGGAACGGTTCCAGCTTGTGCCTCTCCGTTTATTACTTCCGAGTGTGGCCTTGATATGTTCCAAGCGAATAAAGGCTTTGGGTAGGAAGGGACGGGCGGGTGTAAGGGGCATGAGATGAAACCGGGAGGAGGTTTCAGTTTGGAGGTGGACGGGGGATTGGGAAACCAGGGCGGGAAGAGGAGGGGACCTGGCGTGTTCCTCACATGCACCCTGGAGGGAAGGGTCAGAGGATTGGGGCCAAGGTTTTTTTGGGAAAAAGCAACACCCCGCCTTTACAGAGTTGCCTTTTGAAGCCTGAGGATCCGGGTTGGGGAAGCACACCGGAGTGGCCTTCTAGATGTTTTTGGGACTTCAGATCCCATCAGCCACAGCCAGTGTGAGAGACAATGGGAGTTGTGGTGTAATAATAATGGAAGGGGTGAGGTCTCCATCTTCGGTCTTGGGAAGGGCCGGTGTGAATGACTGGAGGCGGTCGGAGGACTAAGCCCTCCCAAACGGCTGCTTTCACCTGCCCCGGCCTCTTTCCTCGCCAGCCGCCTAGAGAAGGGCTTGTCCTCTCCTTTTCTGCCTCTCCCCTTTCAATGGCTCCTTTCAGCCTGGGACGAGCGGCCTCTGTGCGCTCCCCCCCAGCGCCTCCAGCGCCTTTCGTTTCCATGCCGCTGCTTCGTTCC